AATTAGCCATATTATTAGTAATAACTGCACCAGTCAGGACAAACTAGATTTTGTGGCAATCAATAACAAAGCCCTTGAAATCTCAGTGGTTTAAGACAAAGGCTTATTTCTTACCCACTGCATGTTACCATTTGGCTACAGATGGGGGGCCCTCTGCTCACCACAGTCACTCAGGGACCAGACTGATGGAGTAGTCTCCATCTCAGATATCACCAATCACTGTGCTACAGGGGAAAAGAGCTTGGAGGATCTCACCTGAGCAATTAAATACTCTGGTCCAAAAGTGACTCAAGTGAGCTCTGTTCACAGCCCACCAGTCACATGCTCCCATCCAACCACAGGAGGAGTACCATCCTACATGTGCCTGGAGGTAGAGAGCTGGCACTATCCGGTGAACCACATTAAAAATTGCAGTAATAGCTAATATGTATTAAGCGTTAACTGTGTGCCAGGCACTGTTCTAACAGCATGTATTACATTACGCTGACAACACTCCGCTGCAGTAGGTTATACAAACTCCATTCTCTGGATCAGAAAAACCAAGGCACAAAGAGGTAGAGTAACCTGCTCAAGGTCACACCAAGTTAGGAGTGATGCCCAGCAGGCAGGTGAACTCCAGAGCCCATGCCTTTAACCTCAAGGCCATTTGCCCATAATACTCCCCACTCTAGAAAAAAATGAGTAAGATAAGAACTTTTTAATAATGATAAATTTAAAGGATTATCCTTTATTACAAGGTGCCTTTTCTCCTTGAAAATGTTCAAATGTCCTTTCATTTAAGAAATGATGGTTGTAAGTGGAGGAAGTACTAGGGAAAAAGGTTGGCAACCGTAAGTTAGTTCCTCTTCCTTAGCATTTCTGTTCATTTTAATTGACCCAAAATATAAAAATTTGTGACCCTACATTTTGGAGGTTTTTTTGTTTGGTTTCAGCACTCTGTTTCGATTCAGCCACATTTTGGTCATTGTGTGCCCAACAGAGGTACTGCTCTAAGCTCTATTTGTCAAGCATTGTGCTAGATGGTTTGGTGGACATTATTTCATTTAATTCTATGCCATACTGCTTGCTGCCTTATAAAGAGATTAAAGCATGAATTGTCTTTTACCCTGAATCCAACTGAAGCTGGAAAAATCTGGAGCATGACAGGCCCCTAAAAGGCAAGTAAAGCACCCACTGCAATGGCTGTCAGTTATTCTTTGCAAAAATTACCAGAGAGCAAACATATGTCCTTCAATGAGCTTCTTGCTAAACTTAATCGCTGTACCCCTCTCTGTCAGGAATCTTTTCCAAGATGTAATTTTTCTCTCAGGTTAAAGACCAGAAGAGCCACAAGCTGATTTTACCAGCTGGGCTTTGGTACTCCGCCATGGACGATTTCCTACGAAGGATTCCGAACACGAGCCCCGCTCACTGGCCAAGGGCCCAGGCTTCGGGTCCAGCAGCCGCTTACTTGAAAGGGACATAGGGCTTAGACACAGGCAAGCTGTTCTGTGCTCCAACACAGTCATACTTATTAGCTTCCCTTAGAAACTGTAGCTGTGCAGGAGAAATACTCATTGTGAAGAGGTGCTCAAAACAGGATTTTTAACAAAATGAAGCCTTGGGTAATAAGAAATGTTTCAAGCAATGTTGAATACCAGGAATATATCTGTTGTTTTAATAAGATACTGGAACAATTTCTCTTTACAAAAGAAGGAAGGAAAGACGGAAGAAAGGAAGAGAGAAAGCGGGAAGGAAAGAGGGATGGAGGGAAAAAAGAAGTAGGAAGGAAGGAAGGGAGGGAGGGAGGGAGGAAGGAAGGAAGGAAGGAAAATTTCTCAAAAAGGTTTACATATCTTGGTAGCACATAATAGAATATTTGAATTATAAGTCATTGGAATTATAAGTCCAGATAACCACATCTTGGCTAGTCCCTGCCCTCTGGGAAGATTAACAGTACATCTCATCACTGACCAAATAAGTACCAACCCTGGAAATGATCAAGAGAGAAGCAATGTGCTCTGTCACCACAGGGATGAAAGTTCTCCTCTCATTTTTAAACTTCAGATTCTATTTTGAAACAAAGCAATTAAAAAAACAAAAAGATGTCAATATTAGGACACTTCTAAAAGGGAAGAGTCTGTGAATATAAAAACCATTTTAGAAAGACTCAAGCATCCATTAAGTCACAGAAATGATTTCGAAACCTCATTTAGGGCACTGATTCTAACAGTTTAGGGTTTGCATTTGGACTCAGTGTTCATAAACCCTAGTCACTATTTGAAAATGGCTGTCCAGGCTCATGATCATTTAATTGGGAAGCAAAGGAAATATTTTCATAACCTTTGTATTAACAACCCTACAAACAGCCTTCAGAAGTTGATATCCATACTCTGCTGTCAACAAATATTTCTATCCCCTAATTAGAAAGCAGGCTATGTTTTAGAGAGTTTAGTTAATAGGTGCAATCTAGAAGGTGGGAAGTATATTTTGCAGCCAGAACATTTCATAAATCCTTGCCGATAGCTAGAATAGCAGATCTTCAAAGTGTCTACAGAGCAATGAGGAGCGAACCACAGAGGACCTTCAGTGACAGCAGGATGCAAAGGAGAAAAGGGCTATAACTCACTAATGAGAGACATCAAGAGAGGAGAAGGCCTTCCTTATTAAAACCTGTGCTGAGTAATACTCAGTCTGGTAGTGGCTATATTCCCATTTTGCACATGAAATAAGAATTAGCCAGCTGCACCAGGAACATACAAAGGTACTTAGACCAACTGAAGAAGGGAAAGGTGCCAGGTGTCTAAAATAAGCTAAGAAAGAATATATAATTAATTTCTAAAATTTGACAATATGTACAGGCCTGAGAGCAATTCCATGAACCTCAATGTAAAAATTCCTTTTATAGGTGTTTTCTACGCTGATGCAAGATATGTTAAAACCATACAAAATGATATACTTCAACCCTTGAAAATAACCCACTTAAAAAGATAACTATTAAGATAATGGTCACTTGGCCAGAAACAATGAAGACTGTCAGTCCTCTTGGCTCACTGAAAAGGCATGGTAAATGCATGATGTGAAAGCTCAAGCAAGTGGAGGGGGCCTGGTGACTTTTGGTGCAGCCATGTCTCACTAGGACTAGGCTCCTGGGAGCCAAGGACAGATAGTCTTGCAACCTCTTTGACTCTAGATGGCACTCCTAATTCTAACTAAGCAAACGAGGGACCAATAAAATGGCAAAGAGCTGCAAAAGGCTTACTACCTTTAACGTCAAGAGCATGGAAAGGCAAGGCAATGCAAGAACTGTGTACATGTCTAATCTAAGAGTGAATCACAGGACTTTGCTTGGTCACCTTGGGCTGTAATTCATCCCCAAATTGCACAAAATGTATGTAAACTTACTGTAGATAAATTTTCTCAACTACAAAATAGGAAGAATATTCAAACTTCCTTCTTTGTTATGCATGTGTTTTGTGTGACTACCTGGAAAAAACGTTCCCCTCCTNAATATTCAAACCTCCTTCTTTGTTATGCATGTGTTTTGTGTGACTACCTGGAAAAAATGTTCCCCTCCCAAAAAAGAAAATTCATATTATTCAGTCTTAAAAAAGAAGGAAACTCTGATGTACGCTATAACATGGATGACCCAAGGATATTATGCTAAGTGAAAAAAGCCCATCACAAAAGGACACATATAGTCTGAGTCCACTTTTATGAGGCACTTAGAGTAATCAAATTCATAACAACAGAAAGTAAAATGGTGGTTGCCAGGTGCCTGGGGGAGGGGAGAATGGGACATTGTTGTTTAATGGGTATAGAGTTTCAATTTTGCAAGTTGAAAAGAATTCTGGAAACTGGTTGCACAGCAGTGTGAATGTGTGTAACGATACTGAAGTGCACACTTAAAATGGTTATGATGGTAAATTTTATATTTTGTATTTTTACCACAATTAAAGATTTAAAAAGTAAATAAGTAAAACACACAATGAGCCTGGCACATAGGAGATAACCAGACTACAAGTATTGGCTACATGAATGAAGAAGGCTCCTCACATAAGACAGAGGAGATCTCATTGGCACAATGTCACCAAAGGATCTCTAAACATTCCCAGAAACTGGCCCAGAGTGTTTGGGGCAATGAGTAAGGGAACCACAAATTATGGGTGTCAGTTAGTTATCTGCTATGCCTAAGCCCTGGCCCTTATAGGGACCGCCCACTTCTGAGAATCAGACAACACATACCACATTAAGGCTGTTCAGGCATACAGATCAGAAAGAGCCTCTTGCCAGCTAAGTAAATCACTGCTGTGGGACAGTGAGAGGAGTGTACCTGGCAGCACACAAGTATGTGGAGCATGGGCACTGAGATGCAGGCCAGCAAACACAGCTTTGAAGGAATGATCCAAATATGAAAATCTGGAGAAAATAGCATCATGAAAAACAAATAAGCAGTGAAGAGTCAAAAGTGCCACCTCTGTCCAGAAGTTGGTGGGATGAGAACTGGAAGGAGTGGGTTTAACACACAGGAGTTGGAGCACACCCTCTGCAAAGGCCGATGGAAGGGAGGGGTGAAACCCAGATCACACTTCATTTAGGAATGTTGTATTTTCATGACATCTTTTCATGCCAGATAGCCCTTAAACTGGAGAAAAATTCATTCTGTAGAGCTAAAACACTGAGATTTTACTCTCTCCCAGGAGCAACAAATAAAATTTTTCTTCTTTATTTAATTTAAAGAACAGAGGGACTTGTGAATCAGACTGAGAGAGATTACTGTTGTCGGAACTCATTGCTATATATTTTTATAGAGAAAAGAACACTAGGGAAGAGTTAAGAGACAAGGGGAACAAAATATAAAACAGCGCAAACTAAAATAGAGAACTTTATGTATCAAAGCAGAAAGCAGTACCCTAGTGCTGCTGGGAAAACAGCGGTGAGTGCCTGTGAGACTCCACCCACCTGCCAGGGGCCCTTAAAGACACAAATCTTCAAACACTTTACAGCAGAACCCCACTTACCTTTCTTTTGATATCAATGAACTGGGAAAACATTAAAGACCAATAAAATGACAGTTCCAGGATATAATAGTAGTGAAGGTCAGTTGTAAGTGGCTGAGGGTTAAAGGAAAAAAAAGGAAAGATTAATAGTTAATAGGAAACCTCATCTATGTCCCAAACATCTCAAGTTCAGTGCTAAAAAGCAACATAGTCTTATGCCCCCACAATTTCTGGCCCTGTTCTCTTTGCGATAAGGGGCTTTGAAGAATGCTTCTAATTCACAGCCCGATGGCATTAGTTTTATCTCCAACCAAAAAAAGTGTCCGTCAGCATGAACATTTGGTGTCCAATTCACTATTCACTTGAATAATAGCATTTATGCTTCTTTGACATGAATCTGTATCTGCAAGATTCCTCAGGCACGTGAAAAAATATTCTAATGCACACACAAAAAGAATAACCTTGGATAACTATACTGTGAGATTCCACAGCACAGGGACAAGGGAGGGAGGTGATAGGAACTGGAGTACAATATATGTCACTGAGGCACAGTTTCAAGTTCTGCATTAATCAGATCTTTCAGTACATTGCAAATATTAAAAAAAAAAAAAAAAAGACAATTGAAAACATTTCTTAAAAGATCAGAGGGACAAAGAAGCTGCCAAGAGGTACTGGGCTAGGCACCCAGGTGGGAAATCTGAGATCAAGTCTCACCTCCAGAAGTTAATAGGTATAAAATTTGGGCCTTAATTAATGTATTGTAAAATGAGGTGACACCTGCTCTATCTGCCTCATAGGTCCAGGAGTGGGGAGAACTCCAGAGAGGCAGCAGAAGTCAGGAATGTTTATTCTGCACATAAATCCATAAAAACAAAACAAAACAGTGTTTAATAAAAACCATTTTCAACAAGTTGTTTTGTTTTATTGAATTGTAATGAAATGTCTTAGTTTACCAGAATGAATCAAAGACCTTTGAAGCTCATCACACAAACACATCTATACCACTACACACATAGCAACAGTATATGCTGTAAATACAAGGGAAACTTAAATGCTCTGTAAACCAACAGCAGCAAAAGGAATGATTTTCATGAGAAGCTGGTACTCACTTAACTACCAACTCTACCAACTTTACACATAGGCATCAAGGGAAACAGCCATTTCACTCACTGACCTCTGGCAACAGAGCATGAGAGAGGACAGGATACTCTCCCCACCAGCAATCCTAAGCTCTGAGCATCAGTGTGTTTTTCAAGCTCAGCACTACCCTGGAGAGAATATCTTTCCTACTGAATCGTCCTTGTAAAATTTGAAGGCATTTGTAATGAGAGATGGATACTCAGGTCAGACATATGGCAGCAATAAAGTCTAGAAAATAGAGTGCTGGCTTCAGGACCCTTGGAGCCAAGATTAAGTTTCGGTTTTAATGAGAGTCACTTTCTCATTGCATCGCCACCTGGGAAAAGGCCACAGTGGGCTTATGAGGGCAAGTGAGGGCCTCTAGAAATTTCAGAGTTCATAAGGGAGGGTCATATTAGAGTAACTACTATAGTTGTGGAGTCCTTTGCAATTAACAAAGCTTACACGTGTGATAATCTCTTTCACTCTCATAAAAGTCGTATAAAATGAGTATTATCATTTTCTAGATTGTATAGTTACAGGAAATTGCTGCCAGTTGATTCAGGCTGGAAGGCTGATCCCAGGTCTCACAAGCCCTGTGATAGCCAGGCTAGGGCTTTCATTCCCCGCTTGTGCTCTTTATGACAGGCCGTGCAAGGGCCAACTAAAGACAACTTTGCATTATTTCAAACTTAAAATACACATGTGTATATAAAAATCATTTTGTATGCAATAAATACTATAATATACATACTCATGCATAAGGAGCAATGTGTGTTTAATAAAATTGAATAGACCACTACTCTTTCACCTAAAAATCTGTTCAACTATTTATTTAATAGATGTGCTAAAGACATAATAAATCTGTTTCACAAGCATGGCCCATCTTTAAAAGTGCTCTTAAGGCATAAGACTGACTGAACTACAACCTACATATTTATGTATACCTACCCACAAAGCACTATAATTACATGCATAATGATTATATACTGTTTAATATACACCCCCCCAAAAAAGCTGCTAATTTTTTTATGAGTATAAGGAATGTATCAAGAATCACCACTGTCCCCAGGAGAGATCATAAATTGGTCCTAGGCTTCGGGAGTTATATGCCAAATTATTCATTGAGAAGCAATAATGTCTTATCAGTTGAATTCAATCTTGATCTGAATCCCCACATACTAATGACGTTTTCTATTTTATATAAATATAACTGTAAATACCAGACAGATCCTCAAATTTTCAGGTGGAGTCGATAACTGCCTGTGAAATAGTCTGCAGCTACACTTTGAGCCACTGCTCTAGCAAATAATTTTCTCAGAAATAAGCAACTGCTTGGCTCCAGCCATTAATGTGAAAGTTATTTCAGACCACATTATAGTTATGAAGAAGAGTGGGTATTACATTTCATACGGCATTTGTCTCAATGCCATTCACGTGACAGAATTTACCTCATAAACGCAGTGCGTTAGAGCAGCTGCCACATTGACATTCAAGTTAAGGTTTCTGGAAGGCTTTGATGTGTTTTTATAAATAGAATTCTAGATATATAGAGACTTTTCCACTCAGTGTACCATTACAGGACACAAGGAGAGCTATAAATGACAATATTCCAAGTATTTAAGATAGTAAAACAGCAGTTGGGCCTGAGAATTACAACTGTATTCAACAGTGACTGGGTTTCAATGTTGCTTTAGTCTCTGAAATGGCCCTGGAGTACTCAGCTCTCTGGAACCATGTCATGTTGCTTATTTACATTATTTTCTAATCTGAATAAACTACATGAAAGAGATGGAAATGCAAACTAGAATTCCATTTCAACATGCCCTTAACCTTGAACTTGCCCAAGGAATATCCCAACACCAGTTCCCACTGGTTTAGACACTGTGGGTGATAGAAGACACAGGGCATGCCTACCCCCCAATAACCTGATGCGTAACAAAAAGATAAAAGCCTCTAAAAAGACAGCTCCAAAGAATCCCAAACTCAAAATCCAAGTTGCTTATTATAATGTATGTCTCTTTATTGTATCATCAAAATACCTAGTTGCATTTGCTTCATATCCCAATTGATCTAGACACTTTTCAGGAAGAATTTTCTAGAAAAGTCCAGCTTTGATACTCAAATAGTAACTGACCTAGGGACCAGCATGCTAATACTACTGAATTCATGGACAGAGGCAAAGGTACATCAGTGGGCAGGAATCTGAAATACTCCCTTTCTACTATATAAATTTAATCTCATTTTCAATTATGGGGGGTTTTTTTGAGGGTTTTTTTTGNAATACTCCCTTTCTACTATATAAATTTAATCTCATTTTCAATTATGGGGGGTTTTTTTGAGTTTTTTTTTTTTNGAGGGTTTTTTTTGGTCTATGTGTAATGGTATAAGCCCATTTTTCTGTGCTCAAGCAAATGGTACTTGATTTACATACATAGAGGCTACTCCTAAGCCACAAAGTAAACTGATGTCAGCATGCCTGCTCCAGCTCCATGCAAGCTTTTCTACTTGGTATTGAGAGAGGCCTGTGCTGTTATCAGCCTTTCCTCAGTCATTAGAAGCAGATCAACTGTTAGAAACAGGAATCATCCACCTGATGAGCTGATTATATCTTACTCTCCAGCAAATGCACCTTTCCACACTTACTCCATCTGCTAAAGCAATTAAGCTCTGATTCTGAACTTCACTGAGAACACAAATACTTCCCTCACTAGGCTACCTGCAGCATCAAGCAGCAAGGGTTGGGGCAGGAGGCCAAAAAGCAAGGCAGCTATCTAACCTACTGGGACCTGCCTGAAATCAGAAAGCTCACATACGATACTGTATGTGTATAAAAACCCAGGCAATAACGGCGCCTTACCTGATAGGGGTAGTTGTACCAGCAGTGCCTTGTATTCCACAGCCAGGGTGTCTAAAAAATGACAAAGAAACATATTTTACATGTCTTGGAAAAGAAGCAGGATGAGATGTTTATGACAGATTCTTCCCCCCAACTCCCCAATATTTAGGTATTTCAATAATCTACCTGTGTGAGAACTGAAAGACTCAGGAATAAAGTTTTAAAGCAATTAGTACTCCATCATATATTCTTTCTGGGTAATCTACACTCAACTGGTAGTATCTCAGGCTACTTCTGGGATGAAGTCCTAGCTGGTGTTTTTAGATTTTGCTGGTCACAGAGACACATTCCTGCTATGTCATGAGCCTCAACAGCAGGGCCCTTCAAAGGTCTCACCTAAACCAGACACAAATCATCAATCTAAGTGTTATCAATAGACAATGCTGACAGTTGGTGCAAATGACCCTAAAACATCTCCAGCCCAATGTTTACAAAGAAAAGTTATTAATCAATTGTTCCCTGCCTTAACCAGGGTTCCATAACAAGCAGTTATACTACTTTTTTCAGTAGGACACCTCAGATTAATTCCAGGCCTAAGGGAATTAAGCTTCAGGGCACACTCCACCCCCTGACTCATAGTCAAGGTCTTCTAAAGACAAAACAATCATTCTTAATTTGACAGCAATCTCTTGGCTTACAACGTTTTATAATCAAATAGAACATCTAAGTATACACACAGATTCAAAACATTTGTAATGAAAAGAGAGGAGTTGGTGAAGATTTAAACAGGTTGTGGAATAATCCAATAATATCAACACAAACTTTCTCATATTCTTGCATTAAGTTTGTAATTCTTTTGCATCTCTGATCTATAGCTATCAGCACTTTGTGGTATACATTTATATACATTTGATATACATCTGTATATTAAGGAACATAATCATGAATCCAACCCATATCTGTTTACGCATCTCAAAATGACAGTAAATGTCACTGAAAGATTAGTGTCAGATGTATTTGTACCGACTTAACGTCCTTATCTGGTCCCAGACCGTATAAGATCAAGGTTGCTGCCCTCTGCAGTGTGATAATGCAGTTGTCTCCCTGAAAGCGATGCACATATCCTTCCACCCTGTACCAGTGAGGCTGAGGATGGGAGTGAGAAAGGGGCTATGTAATAAATCTGACAATTTCAGTGACTGAAATTAACCTCACAGGGAGATCTGATCATAAATTCCTAACTGGGCAGGACCTGGTAGGTAGTCAGGCCCCAGGCCTATAAAAAATTTACCTTTGCCTTAAGCAAGCCCTACCCAGTGTTCTTGTGCATCCAGGTTAACACATCTTTGAAATGCCAGAGTAATCCTCTTTTCCAGATCCCTCAGAGGTAGAAACATCCTCAAGAGAGAAAATAATCTTGTTAACTCTCCTGTAATCCAATCACACAGATTTCCTTGCCTTGCTTTCTCCTACCACCATGTGATTTCCTTATGTTCCCTCTTTAATTTCAAATGTAAAAGAACTGCAAAACTGTTTCCTCAAGAGCATTTGAGATCTTCCTTCCTGGCATGTCACCAGTTCAGCTCAAATAAACTCATAAAAATTTTCCACATGTTTGGATGTTCCTATGTCAAGTATGGTAATGATGATAACAAAATGTGAGTCCTCCTATGTCCACACATTTTTTAGAGGACGTTTTTTCCATGATCTGTTACTTACTTAACCAGTTAAAAAGTTTAGGCTGTCACACACACTTTTAAAGGATCTTACATATGAACTCATTTTATCCTTACAGTAGCTAATAGTATTTGCCTCATTCTATAGATAGGTAAATTGAGGTCTGGAGTTCATTAACAACTGCCCAAGTTAAATAGCTAGGTAGTGCCTGAGCTGGAAATCAAACTCAGATTGTGTGGTCTCAAATCCAATATAACCCCTGTGCCTCTAAGTCTGATAAAACCTGAACCAGGCCTCTGTTTAGGGAGCCAGATAGAAATAAAAAGCCATTCCATGCACTAAAACGGAAACTGTTCAAGGATCTTTACATTCTCCTTACATGTAAGTACTACCACTTCTCCCTCTCTTTTCCTGGTTTTGCTATTTGCTACATGTTCAATTCCATACATATCATGTAATCTCACTGCACTTAACATCCTGGCTGCCTGAGTTGTATGTCTGTCTGTCTGTCTCCTCCATTTTTCTTATCCATAACTTTGGTGTTCATTACTGATCTATCTCACAGGGTGGTTGTGAGGATCAAATGAGATAGCATGTCTAAAAATACTTTAGATGCTTCAAAAGTTTATGTTATTGTCTTATAGNTGAGGATCAAATGAGATAGCATGTCTAAAAATACTTTAGATGCTTCAAAATTTTATGTTATTGTCNTGAGATAGCATGTCTAAAAATACTTTAGATGCTTCAAAAGTTTATGTTATTGTCTTATAGTTATATAAATAATGCATGTCCATTGAGGAAGACATAAAAATTATAAAAATTAAAAATAATTTCAATTCTTATCACTATTAACATTTTAATGTACAATCCATTTTTTTCTATGTAATATAGATATAAATACAGATATAGATAGGTTTATTTTTAAACACTCAAGAATTAGGAAAGATCATCAAGAGCAAAGATGTGTCATTAAAGACCTAGGCTAAGACCATCCACACCCTCATGGTCCCAATTACTATGCACCGATGTGAAAGTTGGACAGTGAAGAATACTGATAGAAAAAAATAATAATTCATTTGTAATATGGTGCTGTTGAATAGTTCTACAAATACCCTGAACTGCCAGAAAGATGAACAAGTGGATCCTAGAGCAAATTAAGCCTTAAACATCACTGTTGACAAGAATGACAAAACTGAAGCTGTTCTACTTCGGGCACTTCATGACAAGGCAGAGTCTTCGGAAAGACAATAACACTGGGAAAAGTATAAGGTAGCGGGAAAGAGGAAGACCAAAGATGAGATGGATTGACTCCATTAACGAAACCATCAGCATGAGTCTATAGGAGCTGAGCAGGGCTATGGGGACAGGACACTGTGGACATCACTCACTCAAATGGTCAACTCGACGGCACATTAATACATACACACACGTGCATAATTTCTAAATGTGGGCACAAAGCACCCAAACCTATTTTAAATGTTATAGTTATTCCCTTTCTCTTTGATAAAGGTGTTTATTATCTCCACAATTAGTTGAAAGTCCCAGAGGGAAAGGTACATCATATGCATATGTTTATCCCCCCAGCATCTGTGCCCAAGTTGACAGCTCAACATGCATTTACTGAATGCTAATGAAAACAATGCAGAATTAAATGCAAGGCCTGTAACAAGCCTCAGAGTATATTTCTGAATTTATCAGTCCCCAAATCACAGGACATGTGTGTGCTACCTCTGGAGATGCAGCGGGCACCCCTTCCACTGCAGCCACCCCTTCCAATCACCGTCAGGAGAGGAAAGGTGTGATTCCCAGTGATCCAGAAAAATCCATCATTTAGCGCTTCCCTTCCTCTGTAAGTTTCCTGGCTCGTTGGTTTTCTTCTAACATCCAGGCTTTTCCCTGTGTGCATCAGATGTACATCACCCAGACCTGCTTCTATTACGTGCCAGTGCCTGACTGACCTGCAGAAACAGTGGATGAGTCTTTGTCTCTCGCTTTGTCCTACCTGAAGCAGGAGCAAAGGAAACTGAATTTGATGGAGCTACCAGGGCCCTAGCTCAATCCACAAGTTTGTTCGCCAAACATTTATAAAAGTTATTTTATATACAATGCTTGTTTGCATGTACCTCTCACTTTGGCAACACTAGATATTAATACCACCTTCTATATGCACACTACATTTTTCTAGGACCTCATGCTATGCCCTCAAAACCAGTTTTTGAGACAGGGAGAACAAATACCATCTTTCCCAATACATAGATGAGAAAACAAGTCCATGAGAAGGTGATTCTTAACATTCTTATCATCATTCCTATACAATAAAATAAAGCTCTGTACCTAGGACAGTGCATGGCAATTAAGCACATTTCCTGGAAATGGACAGGTCTTTTTCACATGGCATTACAATATTAAGGAGTGTTATCAAGGTTGAAAAATCTAAAAACCTAAGGATTCTCAAATCTTGTCATTCTAATAACAGGATTTACTGTATTCCCCCCTCATCCATTTATACTTAAATAATGCTATGAAGCACTTACAGATTTTAGTGTATTTTATACATATTATCTTATTTAATTCTCACAACAACACTGTAAGTGCTCAAGCTAACACAGCCAGCAGATGCCATAAGTGACAAAAAACATGCTGGCACAGAACTTCTCAAAATATGAAAAAGCAGTTTCTGATTCAGTAGATCTGGCTTGAGACTGAGATTCTACATGTGTAACAAGCTTCCAGGAGGTGCTGACTCTGTCAGACCTTGGCTCATACTTTGAGGAGTAAGGTGCCAGGGAAAGTAAACTAGACATTTAGTTACAATACTTCACAATTGTGTACAAGGTGAATAAATTAATGAACTATTTAAAATCTTTACAATAACCGTTTGAGGCAGAAATTGCTAGTAAAACAATATTGAGCTAGAGAGCATGCTTCTGAACCCACCTTTCTATTGGATATAAGCACACTCCTAAGCTCTGGTGGAAGGCACGTGAGCAGCATTTACATGGTCCACTTTGGGATGGTGCCCCTAAAAGTTAATATGAATGAGTACTTCTTACCCTTTCTCCATTCCCATCAGAGGGAGATAATGAGAACTGGAGTGGTTACCCTTGACCCTGAGATGAAAGTTTCTATTGAGGTTGGTATTAGAGACCTCTTACTAGCCCTGGTCTGGCTTACCTCTGGATTCTTTGCATGCAATAGATAAATTCCTATCATTTTCCTCATATCTAAGCTATTGTATTATCTATTTTTAAACTATATATATACAGTAGCATAGTCTGTATTCTCATTAATATATGCATCAAGGTAAGCATGATTATTTCATAGACAATTAAGTGATCTCAAAGAAGTACCATAATTAACTGAAGACTCCCTAGCTGATAAGCAGAAAAGCTGGA